ATACATATATATATATATGAGATCATGCAAAACATATTTCCATATTAGTATTGTAAGAAAAATAAAGTGAAAAAGGTTGATTAGCTTTTATTAAGAATTATTTTCTGAAGTGGTAGTATGAGAATAGTTGGTATAAAACATTCTCCCAAAGTATGTGACATACTCTCTCCCACCAGTACATACAGATTCCAGGCAAGACCAAATTTCCTCCATCAATCTGAACACACTTCTGGTGTAAAGTCACTCTAGTTCAGGGGTGGGGAACCTATAGCCTCAAGGCCACAGGGTCCCCTCTCTCTCATAGTTCATCTAATGGCTTTCAAAGATACCTAAATTAAGAAACCCCCTACACACACACACACACACACACACACACACACACATATACTTTTTCAAAAGCCCATGATTGATTAATTCAACAGAGAAGTATTCTCACCTGGTATAGGTATCAGGATTTATCATCTAGACATTTCCTCTAAACTCCCATCCCTACAAGGTTTTTTTATTGCATCAAAGGAGAAGGAATGAGGAGGAGAGAAGGTCAGGAAGGGCCTCATTCAGGGGGTGGTGTTTGAGCTGATCCTTAAAGCAAACACAGGATTCTAATAACAACACTAATAATAGTTGCCATTTATATAGTGCTTTAAGGTTTACAAAGCACTTTCTGTATGTTATCTCATTTAATCATCACAAAGTCCTCCATGGTGAATGCTATTATTGTCCCCATTTTACATATGAGGAAACTGAGGCTGACAGAGATTAAGTGAATTGTTACTGTGTGACTAAGGTCACACAGCAGACAGGTATCTGAAAGAGGATTTGAACTCAGATCTTCCTGATGCACACTCTGTGTGCTGTGCCACCTAAGTATCAAGGTGTAGAGATGATTCTGAGATGCAGAGAGGCAAGGAGGGAGTATATTTGTACATCAAGGAGAGATGGGAAATGGGATGTCACATGTGAAGAACAGTAAAAAAAAAACTCAGTTTGATTCATCTGTAGGAGGTGTAAAGGGGAATAATGTATTGGTCTGGAAAGGTAGGTTGAAGTCAAGTTGTGAAAGATTTCAGTTGCTAAAGAGGATTTTCTATTTTATCTTGGAGCTAATAAAAACCACTGGAGTCCTTGAAGGCAGGAGCTTTGTCTTAGGAATCTTTCTATTCCCTCCCTCATCTCTACCCAATTAGCTATAACAGTGCCCTTAATATTGACTGTTCTAATTAAGTAAATAAACAAAAGATCTCCTTTTGGGACTTGTTCCAAAATCCCAAACCCTTACAATTCAAAAGGTCTTCCTCATGTTTGATCATCTTCTCTGCTTCAATTTCAACCCATTTCTACTTGCTCCACACCCAGTAGAGATGTAGAAATGTGATCAATAGCCTTCAAAGTCTTGACGACTTCTTTTGCCAAGCTGAATCACCCCAATTCCTGTCTTTCCTCACATGGAAGGTCATTTTCAAGGCTCTCTTTTTGCCTGGATCTGAGCATGCTAATCTTCTTGGATCATCAGTATAGAGAAACAACCTTCCAGCTCACTAATACTAGGCCATTAGGGCCCTTTCCTCTTGGAAGCCTTGAAGCCCCTTGCTTCTTGACTCTTCTATCCCACCACTGGCCCTGGAGCCTCTGAACCATGTCAGCAACTTCCAGGTTCCATCGAAGGAAAAAACTGTCATCTCATGGCTTCAGTCCTAAGAGTCATTCCTTCTCCTCAGGCCTAGAGCTCTCTCCCATCTTCCCCATCTCCTATCCCACCATCTTCATGCAAGAGATTTCTCTCTGTAAGGATCTATCCTTCCCAGAGGATCAACCTCCCTAAGACATCCTGAAAGTCAGTCCAGGCAAGAGTGTCCAGGCAGAGCTGACCTCCTGTGCACTAGCCCCTCTACCACTCCACCCTACCATATTCCCAAGACCTCCACTGATGGTACAGACAGGCCACCATATTAGTGACATTTTCCCCTATGTCCATCAACACCTCCAGATGAAACTGAGGGCCTGCCTTCTCCCATCCTTCCTCCTCCAGGGTCTCATTTTCATGAGGTTAGGGTGCCTATTGAGGTAAGAAGCAGTCAAGGAAGCTTCACTCAGCTAAATGAGACAGGATGGGCCAGGAAAGGCTATTGGACTATAGACAGCCTTATAATTTAATTACTAGACTATGGAAAGAAGTTCTCATCAAACTATTAAGTGCTTGCCCTTGTTAAGCTCCTTTCTCTTCTCCTCCCACCCCCTACTTGCAGGAGAAGCTGTGGCCTAATTGAGTTACCATAAAGATAATGGCTATTTCTCTATCTAGACCTTGGAAAAGAAACATCCATCTAAGAGTCCCTCAGGCTCCATCCAGTCCCTCCATTCCCCTTGCACACACACACATGCAAACCAGGGGCTAAGATTTGGGCACACAGGGGAGATTTCCTGAAGGGAGGACTTAAGTGGCAGTGGAGAGCGTGCTAGAAGATCAGTTGATGCCATGCATGGCCATATCAACCAGCCAGGGCCACTAACAACCACAGCTCTACTACTCGTACTATTCGGGAGAGGGAATGCAACCTTCCTGTCTCCTTGTCCAGTCTTATCTAAAGGGGAACTATAAAGAAAAAGGATATGTACTTCCTTCAGAGTCCCCTCTGTTGGGCCTCTCTGTCTGGGGCCACTGTCTAGAAGCAGCTAGGTGGGAGCTGGACGTCAAATCAGGGAAACCCAAGTTCAAATCTAGCCTTAAGACACTTATGCGTTATGTGATCCTGAGCAAGTCACTTAACCTCTATCTACCCCAGTTTCCTCAACTGTAAAATGGGAGTAATAATAGCACCTACCTCCCAGGATTGTTGTGAGGGTCAAATGAGATCAAATGTGTAATGCATTTAGCACAGTATCTGGCACACAGTAGTGCTTAATAAAATGTTTATTTTCTTCATTCTATCTTTTTCCTTCCTTCCTTCATACCTTCTTCTCTAGCATCTGTCTCTGCCTGAACCCTCCATGGATATGTCAGTCTTCCATAGATATGGGCCTCTTTGTGGGTGAGTGGAGGTGACTTTTTCTGAGAACTCTGTGGATCTGGATACCCTCTATAGGGTCTCCGTGTCTAGACTCTTCTGTAAGGTTCACATGTCTGGATCCTCTGAGATGTGGGCCACTCTTTGGGATCTGTCTGTCAGGACCCTCTGTGGATCTGGGCTGTTCTCTTCCTAACTTCCCAATCTCATGTCTCATCAACTTCCCTAATTCAATTTCAACCATTTCCACTTGGTCTATATTCATCAAAGATGTAGAAAGCTGGTCAGTAGACTTCAGAGACTTTAAGACCCCTCAGACTTCCCTTTTTCAACCAGGTTGCAACCTGGTTTGCAACCAGGTACCAGTCCACAACTCTTCACTATCTCTCACATTCTGTATATGCTCTGGTTGTTTAGTCTTGTTAATTTTGTCTTTGTAATGTCTCATACACCCCCTTCTCACCTCTGACACTGTTATCACCCCAGTATGGGCACTCATCACCTCAAGCCTGGATTATTGCAATAGCCTGCTGGTTGGTCTCCCTGCCCAACTCTATCCCCACTTCAGTTCATCCTCCACTAAGCTGTCAAAACGATCTTCCTAAAATGTAGGTCTGACCAGGTGACCCCTCTAATCAATAAATTCTAGTGGCTCCCTATCATCTTTAAGATCAAATATAAAATCCTCTGTTTGGCATTCAAAGCTCTTAATGACCTACCCCACCTTATAGCTTTTTTATACTTCACACCCTTCACACGTACACACACACACACACAGACACACACACACATCCAGTGACACTGGCCTTCTGGCTGTTCCCTGAACAAGACACTCCATCTCCCAACTTCAGACTTCTTTTTACTGGCTGAACTCCAGAACAGGATTTCTCTCCCTTATCCTCTCCATCTCCTGGCTTCCCTGGCTTCTTTCAGGTCCCAGCTAAAATCTCATCTTCTATAGGAAGTATTAACCGATCCCCCTTAATTCTAATGCCTTCAGGTAATTGATTATTTTCAACTTATGTTGTATATGACTTGTTTGTACATAGTGATTTACATGCTGTATAACCCCATTGGACTGTGAGCTCCTTGAGAGCAGGAACTGTTTTTTTTTTCTTTCTTTGTATCCCCAGCACTTAATACAGTGCCTGGCACATAATGAATGCTTAAAAATTATTTATCAACTGACTGACTGACTGACTGTAGGATCTCTCTCCCTGGGCCCACTGTGGAGCTGGGGCCTCTGTGGGGTCTTCTATCTGAGCCCCTCTGTGGGATCTCTTTCTTGCCCAAGATCTTCTGAAACAGTATATGCAACAAGCTTCCAGTCTCTCTTACTTCTATTAGAAAATTGAAAGGACAGGAGAATGGGAGCTCCAAAGATAGAGACAAGAATAAATAAGGCAGTGTGGGGAACATATGGGAAAGAGTCTTATGGCTGGGGCATGTTTCATTACATCTGTCAGCATTGATCCCATGGGAGGTAGTGGGTTGTGGATGTATGATAAGGAACTGGGGCAAAAAAAGAACCACAATACAACAGGGAAATTGGAGGTGTGGCCTTAGTGATAAACTAGCAGTCAATCAGAGGTCCAGATGCAAACACAAAATAAAATTTGGGGCAGAATGGAGAGTTGTAATTCATTATAATAAGCACAGAGGCCACACTGGCTAAGAACCAAAGATACACATAATGAAGGGCAAGGCAAGGGTAAGCAGTCAAATGCCTGGGAGACAATTTGGATTTTCATAGGACCTGATGAATAAGCATAGTTGCAAAGGATGAGGAACCAAGGAGGCCTTGAGTCTGAAGCAAGAATCTAGTCCCCATCTAAGGCAAGAACCAATCCTAGGACACAGGTATCCCAGAGTCCATAGGGAAATGCGTGCAAATGAATATCCCTAACTGGAACAGGGAGGTAAAGGGTAGTAGCTAAGGACTGATTTTCACGCTATCATTTCCCTCTTGCCTCTTCTCTTGCCATGCTTGTCCAGTTCCCCCCCTGATTCAACCCTTTGAGTTTCCCCCTGCCTCCATCGGACAGCTGCTGTACATCCCCTGTGTGGTGTCCTCTGGGGACATGCCCATCCGGATCACCTGGAGGAAGGATGGCCAAGTAATCATCTCTGGCTCAGGAGTGACCATCGAGAGCAAGGAATTCATGAGTTCCCTCCAGATTTCCAGCGTCTCCCTCAATCACAATGGAAACTACACCTGCATTGCCAGCAATGATGCTGCTACTGTCAGCCGTGAGCGACAGTTGATCGTGCGAGGTGAGACCCCCCTGCAGGGGAAGGGCAGGAGATGGGAAGGACAGAGACAATTCCATGGTCATAGGGCTGGAGGAACTGTGATTGACTGTTGGGGTAACTTCTCTTGATTCTGACTTGCAAAGACCCCAATATATCAGGACTTTAGGAACTATAGAGGAAAAGACTCAATCTCTGCAAAGGAATGTCAGTACAGGGAAATAAGTTCCAACCCTGTCCAGAGGATGTGGCCATAGGTGACCATAACCTGACACTGGGAATGGTGGTTTCTTCCCCATTAAGACTCAGGTTGGAAAGCTCTAAGCAAGCATGTCTGTAATTGTTTCTGATCTACTGAACCTTTGTCTTCCCTTCTCCCCACTCTCACTTCCCTAGTCCCACCTCGTTTTGTGGTGCAGCCCAACAACCAGGATGGTATTTATGGCAAAGCTGGAGTGCTGAATTGCTCCGTGGATGGCTACCCACCTCCCAAGGTCATGTGGAAGCATGCCAAAGGTAGGCACTGGGGCCTTGGCTGCGAATTATTTCAGGTGAAACATATAGACCCCAGTCTAAGAAGGAAAAAAGATTCTGATGGTATGAATGAATGCATAGTATTTATTAAATGTTTACTGTGTATCAGACACTGTGCTAAATTCTAAAGGTACAACACAAACAGAGAGACAGTCCCTGACCTCAAGGAGCTTGCAAGAGTGAGACAAAACATATATAAAGGAGATGGTGACCAGGGAAGGAAGGTTTTTTTTGTCTAAGAAGTTGCAGGAAAGGTGAATGGGATAGTCATTGACGTACTCTATCCAGAATCAATGGTAGTTTTTATATGATTATGGTTCCCAGGCAAGAGTTAGAAAACAGAAAAAGGGGGAGAGACATGGGCAGGGTGGGGGGAGTCAGGGAGGGAAGTACAAAGAGAAAGGGAAGTACCTGCATGGCAACCTGCAAGAAGGTGGCTAGAGTGGACAGCTAGATGGGATGAGAAGCATGATCTAGAATATCTGCCACTCATCCACTCAACAATAAGCCCCAGAGCAGGAGCTCCAAAGTTAAATGGATTAAGTCCACTCAAGGTGGATATTGCTTCTCTTTGTCCACCCCAATACATACTGGAGGGGAATCTCCAGACTCCAAAATGAAAAAAAACTTGCCCTCCTTCCACACTTTAACAGAAGTGGTGTCTATTCCTATATTTTTTTTCCTTATGATTTATCTTATTCTGTGGTGCCCACCACCAGCTGGCCCCATGCAATATATGTAAGAAACCCATATTTCTGTGTCTCAAGAGAACTTCTTCAGTCTTAGCCTTAGACCTCAGGGCCACATAGGTTTGAGCAGAATTTGCTAGAAATTCTATATAAATTTCTCCTTGGAGTGAAGGGCTTAGACTTTCCAGCAAGGTCAAGATCTGAAGCCAAACATATTCAAGTAGGATAGTGTACAGTTATACCTTCCACATTGCAGCTTTCCCCATCACAGTTTCAACATATCACAGGTCAGCATAAGAAATTAAACGGGAGTTTTGGGGGAGTTTTGCAAAAGCCGCAGATGACATGTGAAGGCCAGAAAACAACACAGAAAAAAATTAGAAACTCAGAAATACATAAGACATATGTATAGTATTGTACAGTATCAACATATTTTATCTTTTAATGCCATAGCAATTCAGACTTCTCTGGTATGAAGGGAGTGCCAAAAAAAATTTATGCGGATTTTCCAGATTGCAGACGCACTGCATCCCTAAGCCCTGTGATGTGGAAGGGATAACTGTATTAGAAAAGAAACTGACCTGAAAATCCAAAGATCTGAGTTCTAGTCTTCAATTAAATGTTTGACTTGGAGGAATCCAAAAAAAATCATTTTATCCCTCCAGGCTTCAATTTCTTTGTATGAAAAATGAGAAGGTTTGTTTTAGTGAGATCTAAGGTCCTTACTGACCTTACATTGGGTGATTCTATGAAGCTACTTCTCTCTCAATCATCTGGAGCCACTATTTTTTCTCTTGCTCTTCCTGGTCTCTGATCAACCCACATAGGATCAACAGTTCTGTCAGATTCCAATGTCCTTCCTCAAGTCCAGCCACAACTTATGGACCCCTTTGACCTCAGATTAAATTCCTCTTCCATGGAATGCTGCTGAAAATATCAGAAGGGGGCTTCTCATGAAGCCTCAAAAACAGTATCATTGGGAGTCAAAGGGAAAAGGCAGGAGCTAGACCTCATAGTACAAAGTGCTGAGAATATCCCTAAGTGGTGTCCTTTGGTATTTAAGCTGGGAAGCTTTAAAAGTTTTGGTCCTTCTGCAAAGCCCTCTGTGAAGCCTTTCTTTCTTAGCTGACATGTTCTTTCATTGATAATGCCTATAAGAGGAAGCTTGAGAGACAGTATGATATAACAGAAAGAACACTGATATTGGAATTAGATCTGGGTTCAGGTCCCAGCTTCAATACTTGTTACAAAACCTTAGCCAAGTCAACTAATCTCTTTTATCAGTCAGTATTTATTAGGCACCTACTATATGCCAGGCTCTGTTTGAGATTTTTGGGATTTACAGACAAAAGGGAAATAGCCCTTACCCTCCAGGAATTTATATTCTTTCTAAGCCTCAGTATCCCATCTGTAAAAATGGAAGAAAATAATACTAATGCTAACTCCCTTGCAAGGTTTTTTGTTTGTCTTGTTTTGTTTTGTTTTGTTTTTGGAGGGGGAAAGAAGAAGGTAGGAGCTGGAGGCATAAATTTAGGGTTGGGGTCGGAGGCAGATTTAGGATTAGAGGTGGAGGTGGAATCAGAGACATTTCTTTATAAATCTTAAGGCACTATAGCAATATGAGGTCCTTTTGATGATTAAGAAGCTCAGGTTCTGCTTTTGATGTGGGCTCTTTGTGGCTTCAGTCTCTTTCTTAAATTTCTTAAATTTAGTCTTTCTTAAATTTACCATTGTCTGCCATTGTTCAAGAGGTCCCTATATGATAAATGTTCATCTCTTAACCTCAAAAAATATTCCCTCATTGGTTTACAGACAGCTCAATTTCTGCACAGAAGTGAATCTGAGCAAATCCTTGTTGCTATTGTCCTCCTTGAGTTTGAAGATGCCCATCTCTAGTATCTACTTCTTTTTGGAGTTTGATTAACAAGAGGATTTTGTGATGTAACTAATAGTGAGAGCCTTTATAAAATGGCTCCTGGGGTTCCTTCTGTATTTCTCTATGACATAAAGGAAAAGCTTTTGGAGTTAAACTTTAGACTTGTCCAATCTACATAATACATTACAAGAGATACTTCACTTTTCTGGATATTACCTAGTGTTTACCTACTAAACGCTTCTCTTTGGATCTCCTTCCAGGTAGCGGGAACCCTCAACAGTACCACCCTGTCCCACTCACAGGCCGCATCCAGATCCTTCCCAACAGCTCACTACTGATCCGACATGTGCTGGAGGAAGACATCGGCTATTACCTCTGCCAGGCTAGCAATGGTGTGGGCACTGACATCAGCAAGTCCATGTTCCTCACCGTGAAGAGTGAGTCCTCTTTAATCACCAAACACTCACTTCCCTATTGTCTCCCTTTCTAGGCCTAACTTGGTCCATGTCCCTTAGTTTACCATTTTATCTGGAAAAAGTGGAGGAAAAGGGATAGAAGGAAAGGAGAGACTCCAAATTATTTTTTAAAAAAATGAAATCCCTCAAATGGTTGTTTCTTTGAGCCATCTCAGAACAAAGAATCTTGGAGGAGTTCAGGACCCTGGACAGCTCCCACACAAAGACGTTGATGGATGATTCTTATTCGTATGACATATAAAATATGTATATTGTTTAGTGTTGTATTTATGTCACATATATGCACTTCACATAGCATGGTTTTATCAGTTAATATATCTACATAATAGTCATATTCATAAGACATAATAACGCAGAATATAGAAAAATATTTTGGAAAGAACACAGGGGCAAGGGTCAGGAGACCTGGACTCTAGTCTTACCTCTTTCACTAAATAGCTATGTAGTTTTAAACAAGCCACTTCACTTCCTTGGGCCTGGGTGCTACATTTGTAAATTGAGGTGTTTTTTGTGCAGTTGAAAATAGTGACTATTGTGATTCCACCATTCTGAGAAACAGTGTGAAGATGACATAGAAGTCAAACCCATTTTGTTCAGAGAACAGGACATATTTAAGATTAACTTTTTCAGGTTAAAGTTGTATCCTAAATGGAGATGACATCCTTGGCATTATACTAAGTACTATAAAGCATACTACCTACAGAAAATGTTCTCTGCTTCTGGGAATTTAGAATTCAGTTTAGGTAAGACAAGCAGCCATCAAAGGGTAAATATAAGCAGCTCCAAATGAGACTGAGCCCAAACAACCAGTCTCACTACTTTATAGTCTTGTCTTTTATATGTTGAGATTTAATATTTCAGAAGATACAGGACTTTCTCCACAATGGGTACTTGCTCCCCAGATACAGATAGGAATCCTTCCATGCCTTTGACAGTCTTTACGAGTCATGATAGCCAATCTTCTCTGTGATGAGCCTTTCTGAATTTGACTAAGCTAGTCCTGAGACACAAGTAAATAGTCTGTTCCTGGGCAATGGAAATTGTGTTGGATTTGGAGTGAGAGGATCTGGGTTCAAATCTCAGCACACTACTTAAGATCTGTGTTAAAGGCAAGCTGCTTCATCTTCATCACTTACCTCATTTGTACAGTGAAGGAATTAGCCTAGGTCACTAAGGTTATTTCTGATTATAAGCCTGCGATGATCTCTGATGTACTTTGCAACTACAAATCCTATGAGCCTTTATATACAAATCAATGTTTAAGGAAAAGAAAGGAAAGAAGAGGAAAGGAGAGGAGAGGAGAGGAGAGGAAGACCCTGACCTATTTGAGAAGAGAATAAACACCTGTTGTGTGCCAGGCACTGTGCCAAATGCTTTACAAAAATTTTTTCATTTGATCCTCACAATAACACTGGGAGGTGAGTACTATTATTATCCTCATTTTACAGTCAAGGAAACTGAGGCAAACAGGGTTAAGTGACTGTTCCAGGCTCATACAGCTAGTAAGTGTCTAAGGTTGACTCCAGGCCCAGAGCTGTATCCACTGCATCATCTAGCTAACCGAGACAAGATTCCTGATTTCTGTTCCCATCTTCCTCCACTGATCCAGATCATTTGACATCTCTGGTCCTCATTTTCCTCATCTGTAAAATGAGGGGAGTGGACTAGATGGCCTCTCAGGTCCCTCACAACACAAGTCACCTCAGCACTGTGTGTCCCAGTTTCCTCCTCTGTCAGATGGGGATAATAATACCTGCCCTACCTACCACGTAGAGTTGTGAAGAACAAATGAGATAATAGATGTGAATATGTTTTAAAAGTGAAAATCACAATACGCATGAAAGGGATTTTTTTATACTCTTCTTCTCCTCCCCCCACCCCACCCTCGCCATTTTTTAAAAGGCCGTTGATTACATTGGTGTAGGGAACTCCTAGCAAAGACGTGCCAATTTACTGATGGAAATCAGCAATAGCTATGCAACCTACAGTCTTGCCTAGGGTGCTAAGAGGTTACATGTCTTGTCTAGGGTCACACAGCCATATGTGCTGGAGGTGAGACTTAAACACAGGTCTTCCTTGCTCTGATGCCATTTCTCTATCCACTATCCTACACTCCCTCTTAAGTACATTGTCCTTATATCTTTTAAATAGGTATTGTTTGTACTATATTCATAGAACATAGGATTATAATCATATAGTCAAATACCATTAACATCACTTAGTAAATTCAGTTCCATTAAACAAATATTTTTTAGCATCTATTCTGTCCAACGTTATACAGTGTCCTCTGATGCATAGTCATAATATAGAGATAACTATGGGATCTAGGAGGCTTTGCCTCCTAGAGCACAAGTTCTAACAGGTTCTATCATGCAGGAAAGACTACAAATACGGTCCCAGTGACAGACTGAGGCTGCTTCCCAAGGATCAGCCTTGCTAAGTACAGAGAGGTTCATCACTAGTAGGTTGGTCTTTTGGTAAGTGGTCTTCAGTCTTATGTGATCTCTTCTGCTTCTGAAGTGATAAAATGTCAGAAAAGGGGACCAGATGATTCCAAAAAATACAATTTTTGGACAATCTGTAAACATTAATTTAGCTATTGTTATTCTAAATGTAAGACCCCTTATTCGGTAGCCAATACATGGGCAGCCTACTAGAGGAACTGAATTATATCAATCTTAACATTTTTGCTATAAATGAAACCAAAAGAAAGGAGGACAGGTACTCCTTGGGAAGACAAATAAAGGAATTAACAGAGTTGGTTTTATCATGCATCCAAAGATCAGAAGAAACATAATTCTTGGGACATTTGATCCTTTCATAACACAGTTCTCATGAAAACTATGCAAAAAGACCAGTATGAAAAGAATTGTAGCTTATGCACCAGTATCTGTTACAGAGGATGAAGAGGGAGAGGAATTCTTTAAAGAATTCATTAAGATCTTCCAAATTAAATCAACTAACACTTTGAAACCTAGTGAAATGGCCAGAAATACAATGAAAAATATGAGTCATGAAGAAGAAATAAGTAAGGTCAAAAACTTGTAGGCCACACAAAAGCCTTACAGCTCCACATCATGGATACTTTCTTCAGGGAAAGAACCAGTGAGTACTGGATATGACAAACACTTAGTAACATCATACAAACAAAAAAAGAAATTAATTCTATTTTGACAAGCAGGAAATGACACATTACTGATGTGGGCATCATCCCTGAATAATCTGTCTTTACACTCATACCTCATCCTCTCCATGTCAACAACACATCTTAATAGAGAACAAAATTAATACAATGCCAGAGGAAAGAACAAATTTTTAAAAGATGCAACATGACACTAAAATAAATCCAACTTGACCTATTGAAATAAATTATTGATGTCAATAAATTGGAAATGGATAGAAGAAAAGACATCAGCATTTATTCAAATAATTACATACATATGTTTAACCAATGTAAATATTGTCATAACAAAAAGAACCAAAACTCTGACTTAATCAGCAAACACTTAATTTACTCACAAAGCAGAAAAATGTAGTAACTGAAGGCAATATCATCAGTCTCAAATATAAACACACTTTTAAAATCTTATGATGAAGGATGGTGGTAATAAGATCAACTCACAAAACAACACAAAGCAATGGGGAAAAAAGTTTTTTTAAAAGAAATCTTGGAATAAGATCCAACCAAACATGTTATCTCCAAGATATTTAAGGATGAAACTGGAAAGAAGACAACAAACAAACCAAAGGTGGAGAAGATCTGCAGGAATTTGTATAACAAACTTTTTTTTTACCACCACGAACAGTGGGGCAACCACTTACATACTCTAATAACTCTACCATCCCAGATGTACTTGAAATGGAAATGGCATGGAAAAGGATAAAGATGGGAAAAGCAGCTTATTATTATTGTTCAGTCATTTTGTAGTCATGTCTGACTCTCTGTGACCCTATTTGGGGTTTTCTTGGCAAAGATATTGGAGTGGTTTAACATTTCCTTCTCCAGCTCATCAAATAGATGAGGAAACTGAGGCAAACAGGGTTAAATGACTTGTCCAGAGTCACACAGGTAGGAAGTGTCTGAGGCCAGATTTGAACTCAAGAAGATGTCTTCCTGACTCCAGGCTTGGCATTCTATCCACTGAACCAGTTAGCTACCCTAAAGCAGCATTAATAGACCAATTATAAGCAAAGGAGATCTATGCCAGAAGTGACATAATTTTGAGGGATTAAGTCTCCAGGTATCTGAAGTAAAATAAAATATCAAAAATGTGTAGGGAATTTATACTTTATTAATATAGAAAAAGGCAACTGAAAAAACATCATTTACTACTACCAACCACAGGCCTACTTTTCCAATAAGAATATCCTTAACAAGGAATTAATGACAGCATTTGAAGAAAACAGGAAACTTTCACAAGCAATATTCACATCTAAAATCCTAGTGCTTGTTATTTGTTCACTAATTAAAAAACAAAGCACAACATTTTATTCAGTAAAACAAAACACTACCTTAAAAGTTCTCATTCATTCAAAGGCGTCTCCCAAGCATTTGTCAAAATTATAGAAGATTCCCTGGAAGATATAATAACAGAGCCAGGTATGGTGGTACACACCTGTAGTCCCTGAACCTGGGTGGGTTGAGGCTGGTGGATCCCTTGAGTTCAGGAGTTCTGACCTGCAACAAGCCCAAAGCTGATCGAGTGTGTGCATTAAGTTCAGCAGGATACCTAAAGAGGGGCAAAATGGCCCAGGTCAGAAAAACAGAAATGGTTAAAGTTTCTGTGCCAATCATTATTGGGATTAGATGCAAGAGTGACTACTGTACTTCCAGCCTGAAAAAAATAAGGATACTGGGAGGGAGGGAAGGAAAGAGTGAAAGAAGTGAGGGAGGGAAGAAGGAAGGAAAGAAAAGATAACCTTGTCTTTGACCTTCCGTTAATATGAATGAAAGCGTAAAA